TTTTTATGTTTAGCCATTTCAGTTTCATTTGGAAATTTAACGTGTCGACATTCTGTGTAATTCTGTTATTCTAAAAGCTGTATGCATATGGTGTATAAACAGTGTCTGCACATTGTAATATTTAAAGGTAATTTTGGCTGAAAAAGAATTTTGTTCCAAATCATGCGTTGGTGTTTGTGGTAAGTGATTTTTATTGGAGGTTTGAAAATTTTTTGAAACTCGGGTTGCAATACTGGGCATTTTGTTTCCTCTTCCATGTTCTATTTTTGCAAAGCTAGATGGAAAATTATGAGGTCATTGCATAGTAAAGCATTTTCAAAACATGGCAGTAAATAAGTGCTCCCAAATGTTTCTCGTTTATAATGCTGCATTATATGTACACAGTGGAAACCCACCCTATAGCCACCCCATTTATACGGCTACCTCGTAATTGAAGCCACTTTATTCTGGCCTGAACAAAACCTTGGTCAGCCATTTTCTTATTTGTAGAACCCCTTTAATGCGGCCACCCCATTAATATGGCCAGATTTTTGTGCCCTGTTGGTGACTGGGTTATAATGGGGTTCCACTGTAGCTGTGATACAAAATTTTATTCTCTATTCTCTGACTGCACAGTTACATGTATGATTTCACAAATTACCATTAAGTAAGCACGGCAGCTACCAGATAATTTAGATTGAAAACAGATCACTTCAAATTCAAACCACATACAGAGATATTGATTTAGAACCCATGGACTGGTAGAGAACCATTAATAAAAGTATACCTTTGAGCTTAATGGTCTTCAGCCGGCTAGATTCCTTTTAACAATCAGATTTCTATGAGCTGTTAGATGAGGAGGCTGAGACCAATAAATTTTGTGGTGAGGGTGAAGAAGCTACTGTATGTGGTTTTGTTATTGAAAGGAATTTTTTCATCTTGAGAAAGGAAAAAGTGTATTGTTATAATAAACAGATAATTGCTTTGTTTTGCATATAATACATTTCAGCCCATAACAACATAAACAAATATATTTGCAGATATATGAAGAAAGTGGCTTCTTTGATAACACTTTGGATAGCAGCAGTCGTTACATACCAAAGGATGATGTAGTGAGTGTTGTTACGTACAATGCTAACACAACCTTTTCTCTGGTAAGGTGAAATGCCTTTACAAATAGACAATACGAGTAGTAACAGCATTTGGATAAAACCTGACTGCTTCTCAAGGGAACCAAAAACCTCAACTGTCATTTTGATGGCCAGCATGCCTCAACACCCAGTGCTAACAAGTACACAACCTGCAGACGCAATGTAGTTGAGCTAGGTGCAAGTTAATCACACAACCCTGGATGAAGAATGATTGCTAATCTGGATAGGATAAAGACGATGGTTGAAGAAAATATGCTAGCTTCCACAA